CAATTTGAGTTGAATTACTGAAATAAATGAACTTTTCCACGACATTCTAATTTATTGAGATGCACCTGTAAACAGTCTTCAGTTTTTGTTTTTTTTCTTTCAGGGCAAAAATTAAAGATACATTGTATGTTTTTGACTCATATTCTGTGTTATTTTTTGTCCCCCCTCCACCTTAAATGCTCAGAAAGCTAAAGCGGTTGGACATTTCCGGACTTCCACAGCTGCAGAATCCAGGCCTGGTATGGATACTACTGGAGGAAATACTGCCACACTGCCGGGTCACGGGAGCTGAATACGAGCAGGGCCTGATCCAGCCAGACAGCCAAGAGCAAACAGAGGACCATCATGATGCTTCCACACACACTGGACATAGACATCTAGAAACAATGTTGCTGCTGACAGTGGAGCTTCTATATTATTGTTCATTATAATGCCCAAACATGTTATTTCAATAAAGTGCTGTGCTCATGCCTATGTTTCTGTTTTTACTATGTAAAATACATTGTATTTGATAATTGTTTTGAGACCGACACAATAAATATTCATGTTTAATATGCAAGTTGAGAACTTGTACTTAAACATGATTTATTAAATATAAACTATACTATGCTACCGTTAAAAAAAATAACTGTAATCCTTTTTATGGAGGTGTGATGATATTAGATCTAAGTGTTAGAAAGACAGAGGAACATACGGAAGGTGGATGAAGAAATCTGACTTACGGTAATGATTTTCCTTTATGCAAATATGTAAACAATTTACTTTCAATCAGAAAAGAAAAATTTGTCTTAAAATCTGATGTTAATTTTTCTGACACTGTCGCATTAACATTGCCTTGAAATACATGTTTTGTGCAAATATAACAGTTTCCACCTGGAAGATTTGATCTACAAAGTGCAGAGAAATATTACGGAGAAATAATATAGAATTGTGTATAAAGGCATTTTTCAGGAACATCCGAAATGGGCAGGCATTAGAGGCCCGGAAGTTGTCTCTAATTGGTCAGGTAAGATAAATATTCTTCCTATGTTGGTGTTTTTTTTGTTGTTGTTGTTGTTTTTTTTACAAATAGTAAAATTGCTATCAAATTTTAAACGTGTCATTCAGGGGTAAGTTATTTTAGACATCACTTAAGCAGCACGGCATTGTCATGCCATACTTGTTACTTTTCTCATCGCTGTAAGGAAGGACCAATCACAGTCGTTTGTAGTATTTTTCTTTTATTTTATAAACATTGCAATACATTTTTTTTGTATGTCAGGTACCTATTCTTTACATGGATAAATTTAAACGGTAATGATTTTCCTTTATGCAAATATGTAAACAATTTACTTTCAATCAGAAAAGAAAAATTTGTCTTAAAATCTGATGTTAATTTTTCTGACACTCTCGCATTAACATTGCCTTGAAATACATGTTTTGTGCAAATATAACAGTTTCCACCTGGAAGATTTGATCTACAAAGTGCAGAGAAATATTACGGAGAAATAATATAGAATTGTGTATAAAGGCATTTTTCAGGAACATCCGAAATGGGCAGGCATTAGAGGCCCGGAAGTTGTCTCTAATTGGTCAGGTAAGATAAATATTCTTCCTATGTTGGTGTTTTTTTTGTTGTTGTTGTTGTTTTTTTTACAAATAGTAAAATTGCTATCAAATTTTAAACGTGTCATTCAGGGGTAAGTTATTTTAGACATCACTTAAGCAGCACGGCATTGTCATGCCATACTTGTTACTTTTCTCATCGCTGTAAGGAAGGACCAATCACAGTCGTTTGTAGTCTTTTTTTTTTTATTTTATAAACATTGCAATAAATTTTTTTTGTATGTCAGGTACCTATTCTTTACATGGATAAATTTAAACGAATAAGAGTATAGGTTTCTTCTGCAAGATAAAAATCGGCCGGAGATTTGAATGCGACTCAGAGAGTGGAATCAGGTAAAGCTGACATCTCAGAAACGGAAAGACAGAGCCTCAGATTCGGAAGAAATCGGGGTAGAAGGAGGAAGGAGTAAAACAATGTGGACGGTGGATGAGTACAAGGTTATGTTTACATTCGCAACAATGGGAGAAATGAGTAATCCCATGCGATTAACCAAGGTTCTCAAAAAAGCATTGGGAAACATTAAATCTGCAAAATACCTATCAAACAATCGAGTGCTTGTGTTCTGTTTGAACAAAAAGCAACAAGAGATGGCTATTAAGATAAAAGAATTGGGAGGAATAGGAGTGAAATGCAATGTGCCAGGTGAAGAGAACGGAATTAAAGGGGTGATATATGGGGTTCCATTGTCACTAACTGATGAGGTACTAAGAAATCAGATTACAGGCATAAAGGTAACAGAGGTTAAATGGTTGACATCAAATAGTAATGGGAAAAGATAAATGAGTACAACTGTAATGATAGGTATGATTGAGAAAATTCTACCAGTAAATGTTCAAATCGGATTCATGAGCTACCCTGTGCGCCCTTACATAGAGGAATCAGTGGAACACGTTATGATGATATGTACAGCATATGAAAGAGAAAGGGATCGACTTAAAGATGAATTACAATCCTTAGGAGTTAAAGAATTTTCATTAAGTAGTATTCTGAATGATGGTCCAAATGCAGGAAAACAAATAAGTGCAGTCATGAGATTTCTTAAGAATTGTGGAATAATGAACAGAATTTAAGATTTAGGTGAGAAATGGTACATTCTCTTCACACTCCATCACAGTAGGTGGCGGTATGCACCTATGAAGTTGGTTCGCAACCCGCCATAAAACCAACAGAAGAAGAAGAAGAAGCATGCGACTCAGCGGAGGATTCGGAGCCTCTTGCTCTTGCGCCCCCGCGAGGAACGAACTGCATGTCCACGAACGTTTACCACCTATCATCAACATAAGCCAGCCAATGAAATATTAGCGACGCACAAAAGCAATTGTCCCTTTAATAAAACAGTGCTGTCATCTCTTAACTTCATGGGTTTTCGAATTTTTTGTATTATTTGAAAGCGGATAAATGTCTGAAGGTAATATTATGGATGTGCCTTTGTTTATATGGGTGTTATCAGACACAGTTAGCCGTTAGCAAAAGAAAGCTAATTGTGTTTTGGAAGTTTTTCCACTGTTTGACTGATATTATGACGTTCACATCAGTGTGATATGTGTTATTGTGTCCTGCAGAGGCTTCTAAAAGGGCAGAAGAGGAGGCTGACACACCAGATCTCGGGGTAAATAAAAATATAACTTGAGTTATATATATTACCACAGTAATATGTATTTTTGGGCTTGTACAAAGCTAATACCATGTTTGTTTGTTTTTTGAACCTTGGAAGTGGCATGGTATTCTTTTAAGTTCTTTATGTATTTATCAAAATACCATGGCATTACCATTTGACTTTACAGTAATAGTACATTATTATTATTATTATTATATTTTATGTACAACCATTTTCAGCTAAAATAACAGAATAATAAAACTGCATAATAAATTATTTAATAAAATTGCTTCAACCTTTGCCAGTCATTTAAAACAGGCCAAATGTCAGCTGATATATTAGCTTTTTCTAGTCCCCCCCAACAGTATTTTCTATTATTATTTTATTATATTTTTCTGCAAAACATATGTATACTGTACATAGGAAATTAATATGTGAACATGAGATATAAATGTAGTAAACATCCACCATGTTCAGCATAGTAAGCCACCAGTTCATATTAGAGCCCGACCGATATGGTTTTTTTGGGGCCGATACCGATATTAGGGAGTAAAAAAAAGGCCCATTCGTGTGTCCAAATATTTGACTGGTACTATATATCGAATACAGTATATACATAAACAGAATATATATACATGAACACATTTTTTGCAATGATCACTCAAATATGGTGATCAAACACTTATAATGGTGACAGAGATATGTAAGGGCATTTAACAATTTAACAATAAACTTGCGATGAGTGCGATGCACAAAGTAACGGGGTGTTTGTTTTAACACACGTGGTTTGAATATTTATTTTACCATAGTAACATTTAAGTTCTGGCTTAAGTACATTTTTTATCTCAGTTTTTATTATTCATTTAAAATTAGACAAATCATATCGGCGGCATATTCGCCGATACCGATATATCGGCGACAGGCTTATGTCGGCCGATAATATCGGCAAAACGATATATCGGTCGGGCTCTAGTTCATATCTATATCTTTATATAAAATAATAATAATAAAATCTGTATTATTTTGATACGCTTTTCTGCAGGGTCAGTCTGACGACAGCAGTGATGAGGGCGACGCTTCGGGAGACACTGAGAGTATGTCAAAGAATCTGTCCTTAAAGTACATTTAAAGAAATTATGTGATCTTAGCTAATGTTAGATATGCTTCTTTTTCAGTGGATTTCTTACGCAGTCTCTTCTCACGAACTCTTGGCCTGAGTCCTGGAGAGAAAGTCTTGGATGAGCTGACCCTGGATGGGGTCGCCCGCTACATCCTGAGTGGCAAATGTGAGTTAACTTCTCAGATGAGTCCAGTCTTTAAAAGTGAAGTGTGTCATTTTTTTCAATGTTAGAATACTTTACTGTGCTCAATTCAGTATGTTCAGTCAGCTGCAAAAAAATGTTTGTAGGTTGGCTTCCTGTGTAAACACTGTGGTGAATATATTGCACCTTTGTTTGAGCAGGTTATTTTCGAGTCAGCTAGTGAGATACTGTTCAGTAAATTACATGTGTTTGTCTGTCTTAACAGGCAAGAACATTATCTGTATGGTTGGAGCTGGAATATCTACATGTAAGTAAATCGCTTATAAAAAGCAGTTTTCTTAAATTAGGCACATTATTATTTTTTATTTATTTATTTTTAATAGATTATATCTTATTTATTTTTTTTCTTTTATATTTAAAGACCGCTTATAGGCAAAACCTCTTTAAGTATAATATAATATTTTAAGTATAACATAACACATAAAATCTCTGGCCATTTTTGCTGTGAGCAGTTGGGAGTTCGGTGTCTTGCTCAAGGGTCTCACCTCAGTCGTGGTATTGAAGGTGGAAGAGAGCGCTTTACATTCACTCGCCCCACCTACAATCCCTGCTGTTACTGAGACTCGAACCTGTGACCTCCGGGTTACAAGTCCGACTCTCTAACCATTAGGCCACAACTGCCCCATATATAGTATCCTGGTATATGTTAAAGTATTAATTAACCTGTAGTCTTTTTCACATTAAGCTGCTGGAATCCCAGATTTCCGCTCTCCTGGCACTGGTCTATATGCCAACTTGCAGAAGTACAACCTGCCTTACCCAGAGGCCATCTTTCAGATTGACTATTTCAAGGTCTGTTTGTGATTCTGAAGAAAAGCTGCAGCCTCATTATTTGTTATCTAAGAGGACACAAGCCAAATTTTTCATTGTCTCTTTCCAGATACATCCGGAGCCCTTTTTTGCTCTTGCCAGAGAGCTCTACCCAGGACAGTTTAAGGTAATTTATGAATCTTTTCTGACATACATGGGTCACCAATGAAATTCTGTTATGAATGAAATCAAACCTGAGCCTTTTCCATATCCTTTTGACTTGAAATGTCTAATTTCTGCAAATTAAAAAAAAAAAATCAATATAAACAATATTGCAACATCAGAAATCAACAGCTGATTTGGCCTTGACAGCAGTGTGGAATAAGTCTGCTTTTTTAATAAATAAATAAACAAACATCTGTAATTCATAGCATATAATATACATAACTAACAAAAGATATGCATAATTACGTATAATGCATATTTAATGAAATGCTGGCAAACCTTCCACCTCGTTATGCCAAATTCCATTATATTACATGCTCTTCTTTGTCATGTCATGAGGTCGATAAGGCACCGCATACAAATAATGACACATGTATTGCTGTGTTTGACTCTTGCATGCTCTTTGGTTTCTTTAGCCCACAGTATGCCACTATTTCATGAGGATGCTGAAGGACAAAGGTCTACTGACTCGCTCTTTCTCTCAGGTAAAAGAGTGTTTGTGTTATTATTATACTATTATGCTAGTATGTATACATAATTATTTCATATTATACAATTATTATTGTTATTTTTTAAGAACATCGATACTTTAGAGAGAGTTGCAGGTCTGGAAGGAGAGGACCTGATTGAAGCTCATGGTACATTTCACACCTCTCACTGTGTGAGCTTCCTCTGTCGTAAGGAGTACTCCATGGACTGGATGAAAAGTACAGTATTGAGCGCTGAAATTTCTCTGTGGTTTCTGTTTGCAGTTTTAAATGAGATGTGGGAATATAGTAAACTATTCGCATTTCATGTGTTTGACTCACAGATAAAATTTTCTCTGAAGATATTCCTAAGTGTGATTCCTGTGGGAGCCTGGTGAAACCTGGTAAGAGCAATTATTTCTAAGAATTTCTAAGAATAATGTATAATTTGAATTAGTCATTTGAATTAGTTTTGGCTTCAAGACAGTTCATGCAAAAATGATGTTATTTCAAAGATGTGTGATTTTCTTTCTTCCATGAAACACAAAAGATATATTGTAGAATCTTAGAGTTGCTCTTTACAGCATATATATATATATATATATATTTATAAGTAGTCCATACAGGCTATATAATTCCTGGTCTTCTGAAATGATATAAGCTGAGTGTGAGAAACAATCCCAAATTTATTCTGTCATTCAATTGCTTTCATTGGTGACTACCCTCTACTTCTGTAGTGATGATTTTAGCCTCTTTGTGGATGTATTTCCTCTCCTATTTTAGATATTGTGTTTTTTGGGGAGAATCTGCCTGACCGATTCTTCACTTCCATGAAAATGGTGAGGATTCAGCCTATCTGTTAAGGTCAAAGTTCCTTTCCAGTCAGTCCACATTCTCAGTTTGACTGATACAATCTACTATACTATTCTACTGTTTACCTCAGGACTTTCCTCGATGTGACCTTCTCATCATAATGGGCACATCCCTGCAGGTTCAACCTTTTGCATCACTAGTCAGTAGGTAAGATTCTCACTAGGTAAGGCCCCGCTACATTTTTAGATTATTTCACATTTTCTGTGCTGATTCTGGAGGAAATGCTGTGGAATCGATGTAAATAAGGTACAGTTTTTTAAGGTAAAAGATCTGGATATTTTTAACTCTTTGAACTGCACTGCCATTCAAAAGTTTGGAATCAGTAAGACTTATGTTTTTTAAAGAAGTCTCTTATGCTCATCAAGGCTGCATTTATTTGATCAAAAATACAGAAAAAAAAACATTGGCAACAGTTGTGCTGCCAAATATTTTTTGGGAAACTGCGATACTTTTTTCAGGATTCTTTGATGAATAAAAAGTTAAAAAGAACAGCATTTATTCAAAATATAAATCTTTTCTAACAATATAAATCTTTGCTATCACTTCTTAAGAATTTAACACATCCTTGCTGAATAAAAGTTTTAATTTCTTTCAAAAAAAGAAAGAATAAAAATGTACTGACCCCAACGTTTTTAACGATAGTGTATAATGTTAGAAAAGATTTCTATTTTAAATAAATGCTCTTCTTTTTAACTTTTTATTCATCAAAGAATCCTGAAAAAAAGTATCACAGGTTCCAAAAAAATATTAAGCAGCACAACAGTTTCCAGCACTGATAATAAATCAGCATATTAGAATGATTTCTGAAGAATCATGTGACTCTGAAGACTGGAGTAATAATGCTGAAAATTCAGCTTTGCATCACAGGAATAAATTAGATTTGAATGTATATTAAAATAGAAAAACGTTATTTTACATCATAATAATATTTCACAATATTACATTTTTTCCTGTATTTTTGATCAAATAAATGCAGCCTTGATGAGCATAAGAAACTCCTGTAAAAAACATTAAAAGTCTTAAAAATCATTAAAAAACTTTTGACCGGTAAAATGTTTTGTAATCAGAGGAACCGTTATTTTGATCAAATGGCCACTGTTGCCGAGCAGAATCTATATGACTAAATCATGTCAAATAAATGCAGCAAAAAATCATGTTCTACACACCGTTTTCACTAAATGAAATACAAGAAATAATGATACTCAATTGTTTTTATTAATATTTACCACTTTAACGATACATAAAGTAGTAGTACACAGCATAACATGAACATTTTTGAATGATGGTGCAAATGAATTGTTGAATCAGTGTTGTGAACTGATTTGCACAAATTAATCAAACTTAACAACCCCCTATTTGGCATTCGAAATATATGCTATTAAATATTTCCGTCCTGACATTTTCATACTCGAGGGTCATGATGACACAAGGACTGGTCTACTGGCACTTTCTGTTGGAGCTTGGCTGAATTAATGTGCATTAAATACTTGATTTTTCCAGCAAATAATATTGAATGATTAATGTTTGAAGTTTGTGCAAATCTGCACAAAATATTCAGGTCTGTCATTTTTTAATAACAAGTTTTTTTGTATCTCTGACTCAATCATTGTCTCGTCTGCAGAGTGTCAAACAGCTGTCCTAGACTGCTCATCAATATGGAGAAAACCGGACAGGTCTGTAATTGAATAAATGTATAATTATTATAAACATTTCAACAAAACAAATTCATTTTATAATTTCGTTTTTGCATTGTGTGTCTATCTCAAACAGTCAGAATTTGGCATGGGATTAATCGGTTTTGGAGGAGGAATGGATTTTGACTCAGACAAAGCCTACAGGTAAGGCCTCCAAGTATTGTCATGCTAAACGGTTTGGTTTCTTGAGGCCTATTCACAGGCATTGTGAATCTCTGGCCAAAAAAGAACACCAAAACTATTCAAACCGATCCTGAAATGATTTTAATAGGTATTGTATATGGGTCATTCTCTCGAAATTCGGAATCCCCTTAACTAATTTATGATTATTTTTATCTGAAAATTATAAAATTATACAACACACGTGACTGTTTCTGTGAGTTTCCAAAGTACATGAATATGGGGCACATTGTTGGGTGTTTATTTTTAGGCATCTAACCGTAGCATTCTGAGACAGCATCTTTCACACTTGTACAATCCCTCCAGAGCAGGGTTTCATAAACCCAGGTAAAAAGCAGTGCTAACCCAGCTTCTAAATTAGAATTGTAAAACATTCCTCTACCTGAGGTTAAAAGCAGGGTTTATGATGATGATAACCTGTGGTTAAGTGCAGTGTGAAAAGCCCTATTATTAAAGTAATATTCAATCAATTTAATGCATCGTAGGTGAAGCAAATGATCAATTTCGTTCAAAAACATAAGAATGTCTTAAAGGGATCATATGATGTTGCTAAATGACTTATACTGTCTTTTTACGCGTTGCGTTGCATATCGCGCCGCGTAAACATAAAACCATGTTGTGATCGGAGAAGCGACAAACAACAAGCGGTACTCTACACTGCTCAAAACTCGCGTTTGAATCATCAGTGGCAAATCCTTTAAATATGAAAACGTACTTACAGGCTGAGTCAGAAGTGCCAGACTGTCCTTGCAAAGTTGGAACTGCCCCACTTTATAGAAACAGCCTTTGTGCACAGCCTTCCCAAGATCAAGAAACAACAGTCCTTCGTAAAATGCGCTGCACACATCTGAATATTTAGGTTGAACTGTTCTGGAACAGTGTTGTAAATACAGCTTAACCACTGATTTGTAGTTGTGTCCTCTTTTGAATAGAATTGAATAGAATTTAATTGAATTTGAATTTATTGCCATTTGCACAGGTACAGTGTAGTACAGGTACATTGGAATTCTTGTGTTTCACAGAGTCAAGCGTTCAAAAAATATTTTTTTTCACATTTAAGGGAATAATGTGTCCTCTTTTGGGAGACCAAACAAAGTATTTTCGCTTTCGCAACGAAACACAAAACTGAAATCACATCATATGACCCCTTTAATTATTTCTAAACTTTTAAAATGGCAGTTGGTGTGAATAAGCGTACAGGTGTTAATGGGGTTTGAAAAGAATGTATTGATTTTTATTGATCGTTTAGATATGAATACACTAATAATTTAATTGAATTTATTGCCATTTGCACAGGTACAGTGTAGTACAGGTACATTGGAATTCTTGTGTTTCACAGAGTCAAGCGTTCAAAAAATATTTTTTTTCACATTTAAGGGAATAATGTGTCCTCTTTTGGGAGACCAAACAAAGTATTTTCGCTTTCGCAACGAAACACAAAACTGAAATCACATCATATGACCCCTTTAATTATTTCTAAACTTTTAAAATGGCAGTTGGTGTGAATAAGCGTACAGGTGTTAATGGGGTTTGAAAAGAATGTATTGATTTTTATTGATCGTTCACAGAGATGTGGCTCACCTGAGCACCTGTGATGACGGCTGCATGGCTCTTGCCGAACTGCTGGGCTGGAAAGTAAATACAGGCATATTCACACACAGATCTGACATGTTATTTAAATCAGTAATATTTTGTTTCTTTCTTAAACTATGTTTATTGCATGAGATGTCACCACTCTTGTTTCAGGAAGAGCTGGAACAGATGGTGAAGCGTGAACATGCTTTAATTGACAGCAGAGATGTCAAAAAGAAAGACGAAGCCAATCAGAACTCCAAAAGCACTGGGGCGGAGGCTGGAAAGACTGACAAGACAGCATAACCAATCAGAGCATGAAGAGGGTTTACATGGCAGCCCTAATAGATCTACAGAATTTAACTCCACTTCTCAAAGCCAAGTCTGTCCTTCTTGAGTCTACAGTCGATCACACCTTTCTGTTTCTCTGAGCTTCTGTGTCTCTCATCTGCCTATAATAGCAATACAGATATTATAGAAATAGTACAGAAACCTCACAGAGCTCAGACAGGAACAGTGAGACAGACATACAGCAAACACTCTCGCAGAAGCATGGTGTTATGCATGGGCCAGGAGACGGCTTTGATTAAAAACAGTTTGTGAAACACAATTATGAAAATCAATACTATAAAAAGCTGATAAGCATCACACTTACACTTTATGCTTTATCGCATAAGGTCTTATTTTATCCTGCATAAAACAAAAGAGTTTGAAACCCAAATTCTCATTACTGTAATGTACCTACAAGTTTTTCTTTTTAGATCTTTTTGTAATTCTCATAATTGTGATTTTCTTTCAATTATTATGTTAAATTAATTTACAGAAACATACAAAAGGATGTTCAACAGATGCTACCAATCTATGTATGTACTTTTCTTGCACTACAGTAATGAGAATTGCATTTGTTTTTTTTGGTTTTTTTTGCATTATGATAATGAGAATTTACAAGATAAGTCTGCTTAATTCTTACCAGGTTTCATGAGATTAACCATAATACTAATAATGGTTTACGATCTTCTGTCTAAACTTGTCAAGAAGATTCTTTTCTTTGTGCAATCATTTGTAGATTTTAATGTTATATTTTTAAAAGGATTAATGAATGTTTATTTTAATGAATTATTAATGATCTCTGCATTATATTAACTATTATAATACATTTTTTATGTTAATTCATTCTCTGTTGCTTATCTTTGGTTTGGAATGGATATCTACACCTATGGCTCAGTTGTGTAAGAGGAAGTTGGCCTAACTGTTTTACAACATTACAAAATATGATATCAGATTGAGCCCAATGCAACCTTATGTGAGGAAACAAGAATGAAAGATGAAACCTTTTAAAGTTTTGTACTGGATGTATGCATGTGGTGTCATTTTTTGTCAAAAGGCATTCAAATAGTTATAAAAAACGATAGTTATTAGCCATTCCAGCCATACTAAAATATACCTATAGTAACAGCTATGTTCCCCTAGTGGCTGTGTATATGACTACACAACACACACAGGCCACCTATTAACCTCAGTTTATATGTGAGGTCCATATTTTATTGTAAAACAATTTTATAGCATTTCTCACAAAATAAATATCTTGTTGGCATGCTATATTTATGGTTAAAACAACCTTTGTGATCGTTAATACCAGATTATAGACAGCACTGAAATGTTACCGTTCTCAAACATTTATTTAAACCTTTTAATCTTAATAAATGTTTTTAGAGATGGCTATGGGTTTGACCTTAATTTTATTGTACGAGGAAATTCAGTGAGGAACACTGGTTAACGCTCTTCCCTTGAGCTCAATTATTAGCAGAACATGCTCTTATAAAAAGAAAAGTGGTTTCGTTTTTGGCATGCAACTGCTGGCTTGACTAAAATGGAACTGAACTGAACTGAGCTGCATGGTACTGTTACATATGAAAGTAACACGTATTTAGCTATAATCTTTCTGTTGTATGTGACATCCTACTTCTATCACTGTTCAAGTTTTCACTGTGAGGTTTACCACAACCATGAACGTGGGTGTAGCCACACACAAAAAGCATCATCAACGTACTGTCACACTTGTCTAAGCAGAAACTGAACTTTAATGTGACTAAAATTGATGCCTTGAACATTTCATAACGGGAGCAAAAGTTAATCTCACTGTAGGTGGCATGACAAAGTACAGGACAGATTCGTAATGAGGAGTGTCAATTACCCCACACAAACCTGCAGTGCGTGGAGGCGTTTGGAGCAGCTTTCAGAGATGTTTTTTTTTTTTCATCTAGGAGGACATTTTGAAGACACCACATGTGAGTTCAGCTCTGACTTCTGTTTGCATCATTACTCAACTTATTCTTGAGACATGGGACAAAATAGGCTATATAAGTGGAAAAAAATTAAAGTTTGTAGCCGTAGTCGGTCAAGAAATTATGTTCAGAAGTGTTTACTGTAGGTTTTACATGGGAAAAACTCCTGCCTCTTCCATTTTCTACAGAACTGTAAAAACTGTACTGTTAGATTAAAAAAAATACACTACCATGAATAAAAGTATAATAAATACTGATATTAAACATGGAGTATAATAAACAGAGAAGATGGGCCGTTTCGGTCAGCTCCTATTAATGACAACTGAATTGACAGTTCAGGGTGATGACAAAATAATTATATATTTTGCATATGACACAAGTGTTAAATAAAGTAGTAGTGTTGGACAAATTACTCAAAGTTATCCACTACAGAAACCCGAGACCAGAGACGAACATATCAGTTATGTATGTAACCTTGGTTCCCTGAATAGGGAACAAGATGATGACGTCATGGCTATGGGAACACCTCCGGTGTGACGAATGTCTGAAGCCCTTATACCATCACGCCAATTTATTGGCCAATAGCGCTTAGCAGCGCCCGGAGCATACGTCGCGTATGCTCATATATTTTATCAGATTTTACACTATGACGAAGGAAGTGCTATCGAAGGTATGGAACGGCCAGCATCGCAGCATCTCGTTCCCTATTCAGGGAACCAAGGTTACATACGTAACCGAGATGTTCCCTCTCATAGGTTCACTTCAATGCTGCGATGACGTCATCGCTATGGGAACGCTATACCATCACGCCTGACGTACCTAAGATAGCTGGAAGACAGAGGAAAGAGTCTGCTCAAGCGGAAGAGACCCGGGAGCCAAGAGCCATCCTCACGTCCAGACAAGTAGAACTTGATGAAAGTGCTAGGAGAGGACTAACCTGCCACAGCACAGACATCTCCCATCAAAGGCCCTTTAAAGAGAGCCTGAGAAGAAGCCATTGCTCTCGTAGAATGAGCACGCACCTCTAGAGGCGAAGTCACACCACGCGCCTCATAGGCTAGAGGTATAGTCACCATCTGACCCCACATAGCAGGGGAGAAAGCCTCCAACCACTTGCTGAAAGCGAAACGGAGTCGAAGCAGCCTTAGGATTAACTAGGCCTAGGAAGCAGTAAGACTTAACCAGCCTCGGGGCAAAGTCCATACAAGAGGAGCTGACAGAGCCTGCAGATCCTTAGTCCTCTAAGAGAGGATAGGATTACCAAAAAACTGGTTTCAAAGTTATCTGACAGACTTAAACAGCTCAAATGGAGGCCTGCCAGGCCTTCCAACCGAAAAATAAGTCCCAAAAAAGAATCTGTGCTGGCAGAAAGGCCTAAGCCGTCTCATCCCTGCATGAAACGGGAAACCAGCAGATTGTGTCCACTTAAGGGCATACAGCGTCTCGTGGAGGGAGCTCTAGAATTAAGAATAGTGTCGGTAATCTCTGCCAAGAGACCGGAACACATTTCAACTCTGCTCAGGGGTCACACCCATTAGTTCCAAAAATCCTGATGGGGATGTCCAAATCATGACCCGAGCCTAAGTCAGCAGGTCATGTCTGAGGGGAACCTCCCAAGGGGGCCGGCTAACAGACTGACCAATTCTGAGAACCACGTACGAGTGGGCCAAAACGGCACCACCAACAACAGACGTTCAATCTGAACAACCTTACATTGAACAGAATCTTTTGGGAGAAAACGGGTCGACAGGAAGGCATAAGACTGGTCCTGGGCCATTCTTGGGCTAGAGTGTCCACACCCAGAGGCGATTGAGGAGACAAGGAAACCAGAGCGGGCAAAGCGCATGCTCTAAGCAAACAAATCCACTTCCGCTCGGCCAAACCTCTGCCATATGAGACTCACCACCTGAGGGTGCAATCTCCATTCTCCAGCCTCCAAACTCTATCTCAAGAGTAAGTCGACTCCCGAGTGACCCGGGACATGAACTGCTCTGATCGACAGGAACCTGGTCAAAACTAAGACAGGGCCAGAGACGCATCCATTCACCTTGCGTTCAAGGCCAGTTCAATGGAAGAATACAGTATTGGCAAGCTTTATTCCAAAAGCAAACCTGAGGAACTTCCTGTGTCTCTTGACGATCTGGATGCAGAAGTACGCATCCTTAGATCGATGGTCACAAACCAATCTCGGGTTCAGATAGAGACAGGATGAACTTCTGCGTCAGCATCTTGAAATTGCTTACTCCAAGCACAAGGTTAGGTGAAGCAAATCCAATCAACCCATAGAAGCTGGATGGTGTAACCATACGACAGCCTGATCCTCCCTCATGAGGCCCCGAGACACCTGAGTTGCGGGAAAAACCAGGCATGCTAGCACCAACCACAGAGTGGGGACTTGGATGTCAACATAGACCCTGCAGCAATGGCTTTAGGGCTGTCCTCTCGATCTCCAAAGCTAAGGCGTGGAGAACGGTCAAAATCAGTCCGAAACGTAACAAGCGGAGCAACAGCAGAGCTTAAAAGAACAGAGTAATTAGCCATGCAAACCACTGCTTGGTAGCATGAAGCACCCAACATCTCTAGTGCACAATAATGTATGCTGCAGTCACATAATGCAGCCAGTCATGTGAAGCGAGTGTTGGTAGCAAAAGCGCCGCATCAATCACATGAAGTAGGCTGACCATGGTGAGCATTAATAGCTTGCCATAAGAGATACTCTTACACGTGAACTCATTCACACAGTAGCTCAGCTCAGTGCATCTCAGTTGGGATGAGAAGAATAATGATTAGTTATGCAAATAGTGTTGGTAGCCTGAAGTGCCAAAACCATGTTGCACGACAAATGTGTGTTGCAAAACTCCACAGAGCCCACTCATAGCACAGAGTCCACTATTTGTTCCAGCTCAAAACAGCAGTGGAGCTGAAAGAATAATAATTATTAGCCCGGGCAGACTAGTGTTTGGTAGCATGAAGTGCCAAAAACCATAGAGCACGGCAAATGTCAGATGAACAAAAGTTGGAAGTGTAAGCGCCAAATCAATGTATGTGCCTTAATTAATGCAGTGCAGGAGTAGAGACAGGAAAAACCCTGCTCACTCTTCAGCCCGAGTCACTATGGCAGGGGTGGCAAACTCCAGTCCTGGAGAGCCGCAGCCCTGCAGAGTTCAGCTCCAACCCGAATTAAAACTCACCTGCCTGTAGCTTCCTAGTAACCATTCAGACTTGATTAGCTTGTTCAGGTGTGTTTGATTAGGGTTGAAGCAAAACTCTGCAGGGCTGCGGCTCTCCAGGACCGATGTTCTTCACCCTTGCACTATGGCATTAGGTGTAATACAGCTTGCCATAGGAATTTACTCTAGATATGTGAGCTCGCCCACTGATTTGTTCCAGCTCAAAGCAGCAGCGGAACTGAAAGAAAACTTAACAGCCGGGCAGACTAATGCTTGGTAGCATGAAGCGCCAAGACCATAATGCATGACAAACATCCGCTGCAGGACTCCTAGAGTCTGTGCCTAAAACCAGTACAAGAAATAAGAGCTGGAAGCGTAAGCACCAATTCAAATGCACATGCCTGCATTAGTGCAGCGCAGAAGTAGAGAGAAAGAGATCGGAAAACCCGTCTGCTCAACTCTACAACCTGAGCCATTATAGCATTAATGTTAAATCAGCTTGCCACTTAATGTTTCAGCTCAACGCAGCAGCAGAGTTGAAAGAAATATTGTATTACTCAGGCAGACCAATGCTCGGTAGTATGAAGCGCCAAGACCATGGTGCACGACAAAATATCTGCTGCAGACTCAGTCTGCGTCTAAAAAGTACACAAACAAGAGTTGGAAGCGTAAGCGCCAAATTAAATGAAATTAGTACAGCGCAGCTGGTAACGTAGAGAGAGAGGGGAAAAACCGCCTGCTCACTGTTATAGCTTGCTATAAGAAATACAATGAAACACGTGAGCTCTTCCACTTATTTGTTTCTGCTGAATGCAGCAGCGGAGCTGAAAGAAATAGTAATTAGTTGGGCAAACTAATGCTTGGTAGCTCGATGCGCCAAAAACCATAGTGCACGAAAGCGCCAAAAACCATAGTGCACGATTTAACGTCCTAAAAATCAGTGCCTCTCATGTTGTTTAATAAACTTGAGAAACACTTGATCAAGGGAGGGAGTAGAGCAACAGGGATTTTATATCAGTAAGCTCGCCCCTTAACCCATAGCTTATATCTACAGCTTGTGTCGCCTGTGACCTCGAGCCCGAGGCTGCTGTAGAGTATGCATCATCTAATCTGCAGCCGAAAGAATCGATTACGAGCTTTCGGAGCAGGAATCAGATTTGACTAACCACCTGACTCACGAGGCGCTCTTCTGATGAACGCACGTGGTCTGGGGAAGAGAGCGAGAGAGAAGGGGATTAATTCCGTTCTCTCACTCTCTGTACACTCGGGCTCATCGCCGTCACCCCAAGCATCGAGCTTGTGCGGCGCCTCGGCAACCGCAGAACGGGAACAGCGGGGGTTGAACGAACATCTCTCCTTCCTCAGAAAGAGAGCAAGCCCAGAGCGCAACTTACTCACAAACACAAATATCACGGATTCAACAATAGATAAAGGCCGCAAAGCGGTCTTCTTACCTGTTTCCTCATGAGTCTGTGTAACATACATACATACATACCGGAAAACTCATTGTGTCCACCTTAGAGGAGTAAACTGCTCTATATAAATAGATGGCTTAGAACACAAGAATCTCTTTCCGACGGGCAACAGATGATTCGCTTCCTGAAGGAATTAAAATCTGATGAAATAGCGCGCAGCACGCATATATGAGCATACGTGACATATGCTCGGGGCGGTGCTAAGCGCTATTGGCCAATAAATTGGCGTGATGGTATAAGGGCTTCAGACATTCGTCACACCGGAGGTGTTCCCATAGCGATGACGTCATCGCAGCATTGAAGTGAACCTATGAGAGAGAACTAAAGCTAACATATGAAGGCCTACCTTTGAGAAAAAAATCAATAAATCATGATTTGTTTCATGTTCATTTTGTCCCAGAAAATGTCATTTAAATTCACACAACTTATTGTATATATCACAGTTATGACATAAGTGAAAACTTTAAAAACTTATTCAGAGTTTATACTGCATGTTAATTTAACCATTTATCCATCCATCCATCCACAGTATTATTATTCTAAAGTGATAAATAGCAATAATCTAACAATGCACAGGTGTGTCCAAATGTTTGACGGATATGTATTTCAACAAGTTGGAAATGGTTCTTTGTCACAGCACATGGCCCTCTGTTTTTAAAGCTGCAAATCAGAGATGAAACTCCTCCCTTAAGTTAAAAAAAGTAAAATCGGACTTTACATTTCACCACTGATAAAACACATTAACTGTTAACAAAGAACTATGACAAAGAAAGAGCAAATAGGATGTGGGGTTGGAGAAAAAACATATTTCTTCATTTCCTTTGTTTCTCAATTCCCAAATATCAACAGGGTTACAGCAACATAGCTAAAATGGAGGACCTTATAACAGAACAGATTCCCTGAACAGGTCCATCGCTATTCTGTTGGACCAATGATGATGAAAGAATCAAAAGATGAATTCACAACCAGTGAGAACAGGTGAGAGAGTTCATGGATACAATCTTCAGTAAATGTAATCACCATTTTATTCCATATGCATTTTTTAAAAAAAATTATACTTCAGTAAAATGATTAAACACTTTTTTTTATTAATAGAGAAAATCCTGCTAGCACAGTACCCAATGGTGTCTCCAGGGATGAGACAAAAATCCTGAGTCTGCTGCAAGGTTTGCGGTTGTGTCAGGATGCCTGGGCTCCCAAGAGCCCCTGGGACAGTCATGCGGCACATGCCGCTCTGTGGGGCAGACCTGCTGGGGTGGGTGCCTTTACTTCCTTTTTATCAATGCTTGCTAATTAAGTCAGTCAACAATTTCAACAATATTCCCTGTAAACCCTAATGTTGTCAATGATAAAAACAATAAAGTAGTAATAGTTAAATATGACTTGAAATGTAACTCATAATTCAATAATTTAACATTTTGCTTTCAAATTCCATCAAATCTAGACTAACTGAGGCTGGGGAGAGACGTAGGTCATAGTTGTAGAGCATTACCCATGTTTACTGTGGATATGAAAATAGGGCCCTAAGAATTATTACCTTTTAGTATTACTGATGCTATTTTGTAAATAGATATTGTGGGAAGTCACTGTTCCCTTTGGTGTTTCCCCGTTTATTAAAATCCATTTCTTTTTTCTTAGTGGAAGCAGTTTTATGTGCACTATTAGGGAGAAGTTTATTCAGTGATTGACAGTAGATGTTGTCATAATTCCCTGTTTATACGTATATGTTACAACGAACAAAAAAAATAATTAAAAAAATAATGAACAAAATTATATATATATATATATATATACATACTGCCATTTGTATTTATTTTATTTTATTTTATATTCTATTATTTTAATTTATTGTATTCATAAACATTTAAATAGCAAATAGTTTTACCGTTTACTTTCTTTCGTCACTTTCTTCTAGTTAATTACCTATAGCAGCTACTAATAGGAAGTTTTGCACATTACATCACAGAAAAAAGCTTACTTCCGTATTGCATATACAAGGTCCTAAATCCGTACATCAGGGGTTCTCAACTCTGGCACCAACCTTGATCAAACTCAAGGTTATATTTATATATATATATATATATACATACACATATATACTGTATAACGTATATAATCTTGTTTCGAGGGGGTTCCACCGGTACAAATCGTGTTCCGGGGGGTAAAATACACAAAATACACAGGGTTCCCCTGGTAAAATTTGCATTCAATGGGCTAAATATCACGTTATTGGGGTCGCTTCAACCCTTGGACATGAAAAACGTGCGGCAACCGTGTTAAAGTAGCCCGATTCCGTGGGAAAACCGTGGGTCTGTTCTTTCGTAAGACGCAAGCGTTTATTTTTCACCACTAGAGGTGTAAAGTTACATGGTGTTGCTTTACGTGAATTAAATTAAACAAGGAAATATTTTATATATTTATATATATATATATATACATACACATATATACTGTATAACGTATATAATCTTGTTTCGAGGGGGTTCCACCGGTACAAATCGTGTTCCGGGGGGTAAAATACACAAAATACACAGGGTTCCCCTGGTAAAATTTGCATTCAATGGGCTAAATATCACGTTATTGGGGTCGCTTCAACCCTTGGACATGAAAAACGTGCGGCAACCGTGTTAAAGTAGCCCGATTCCGTGGGAAAACCGTGGATCTGGCAACACTGCTTGAACAACATTCTTAAGCGCAGAGGAGCCGAACCACAACCAAAGCAATGTTCTTTCGTAAGACGCAAGCGTTTATTTTTCACCACTAGAGGTGTAAAGTTACATGGTGTTGCTTTACGTGAATTAAATTAAACAAGGAAATATTTTATTGAAATTATTGAAGGGATAGTTCACCTGAAATTAATATTTTGTGAACATTTATTCACTGTTAAGCCATCCAAGATGTAGATGAGTTTGTTTCTTCATCGAAGCAGATGAAAATATAACATTAATCAGGTAATCCACACACCTACAGGCCATCAGTTACCATATTGTGAAGTGAAAAGCTGCATGTTCGTAGGAAACCAATCCATCATTAAGGCATATTAAGCCGTTAGTCCATAATCCATAATACGCACTCCGGTGAAAAAGTCCATCCCCTGTTGTCCTTTCACATCAAAATCCATGAACATATTTGTTTTTTACTTTTAAACGGTACTTGATCTGTGCATATTTCTCTCCTGATTCAGACGAGACAAGTATTGATGGACTGGAGTCATGTCGATTACTTGGATTATTGTGATATCAACTCTCATTCTGATGGCACCCATTCACTGCAGAGGATCAGTTGTTGAGCAAATTATGTAATGCTAAATTTCTCTAAATCTGTTCTAATGAAGGAATAAACTTAACTACATCTTCGATGGCCTGAGTAAATTTTCAGCAAACATTTATTTTTGGGTGAACTTTTCCTTTATGGTTAATTTAAGTCCTTGTCTAGTGTTATTATTTATTTTATTTTTTAAAGAATAAAAAGTACTGTTATGTTGCAGATAATTGCAGAAGTAGAGTTAGATAAGCTTGCATAAAGCATGACTGCAAGAGCACTTGAAGAGAGGCAAAGAGGTGGTGACTTATTCCAGAGTTTGTGGAAGTGATTATTTATGTTGGTGGTGTCTAGCATTATAGAATTTGACTTTGTAGAGTGTTTTTGCTGGTATAAATGCTCATTCATGTCTTTAAAAATAATGATTAAACGATACAAGGTCTACATAATATAAAAATATTTATTTTGTCATCTTAATTTTGAACAAAGTATCTAAGGATCTATTGTTAAACTTTTCACAGAAATGTTGACCGATGTTGAAAGTCTATGCCAGGGCAATGTAGATGTGTGTGTAACTTTTTTCCCCCCACATTCAAACTGTGAAATATTCTTTCATAGTGTCACTCTATATAAGTAGTGAGTGATGTCAATTATCAGAGGCCTCATTTCACTTCCTTTGTGATCATTGTAAAGGAACAAAGTCCTCAAACAAAGTTTTTTAAACATTATTTTTTATATTTTGAATTTGAATGAAAGCTAGCTGATGTGTATATGTCAGAAGCACATCCATGATAAGTTTTAAATAGACAAAATAAATGCTAATAACTAAAGTATGTTTCACTGTCATCTATTTTTGGATTTTTTATTTATTTTTTTTTATTTTTTTTGCCACCCAACTTTTGTGTGCACTGACTTCCTCTTATGAGAGTGCTTACCCACAAAGTGGGCATTTCCTTGAATTCAGTGGTGGCTGTATGTGCTCATGTAATTAGTTCATAAAAATTTGACAACGATACATTATTCTCCATGATATTTTGATCCTCAATGCACTCAATATAACACTTTCATTAACTTTGCATAACAGTAAAATGATCTAACTGTTCCTTTACACAGAGTTTCTTGGTGGTTCAAGACTCTTCATCTCAAGACCAACGACTGTGTGTGTCTGTAGGAGACAGAGGGGAGCCGGTCAAAGAATTCCACATCTTAACCACTGGAACAGGTACTGAAAAGCCTTTTCATCCTTGATTGCTGCTCAGATTTGCTAATACCCAAGTTTGCAATCACAAGTCAGAATTGAACACATGCATTTGTCATGATCAACGTGTTGTCATGATGTTGTCAACTCCTCCAATATCAAATTATCTGAGCTATGGTGTCCACATTTTATAGCTGCATACTATAACTATATTTCAGTAACTGTCTGAATATTTATTTATTTATTTTTTAGATTTGTATGAGAAACGTATAAGTTTCCTGAGCTATGAAAGAACAACCTCAGAGCAATTGCGTGAAAGGAAATGAACAAGCTTTTAGGCATGGTCAGGCATAATACATTTCTAAAGCATGCAAGTTTTCTACATTTCCTGTTACAAACTGACATGGGAAGTACAGCATGGGAATCCATGTGCAAATAGTTTGTGCAGTGTAAATGAGACGTTTGTGCAAAGTTCAGTAAACTCTTCTGCACAGTAGTTTGTTCTCTATTTGTGCATGCTGATACAATTCACATCATGAACCCTACAGTCTTCCTATTTCCTCATTACATATGTGTGCTTTTGAAGTTCATGACTAGTCTGTCCAGTTTCTCTATTACCCGTTGTGTTAGTCTGACTTATTTCGCTTGTCTTTTTTTCCCCTTTCATAGCTCTTTGCCTGACGGCATCACACCTGGCTTTCCCTGATCTCTGTCAACTGCTGCACTTCTACACACTGAGCAGGTGGGGATGAGATATTTTTATCTAGCACCTATTGATAAGGAAGCACATCTGTTGATATCAGGAGGTTATCACAGGAACCTCTGTGCACCCCTGTGTTAGATAGTAAATTATATTAAATCTTCTATGCACTGTAAAAAAACTGGTAACCTGCAATTATTACCTTAAAGAGCTATTTCTACCTGATTCTACCCATATTTGTTTTGTTGGTATAGATTCATGTATATATTTTGGTTCAGTGATGTTAAATAGGATTTTTGACTTGAATAAAACCAGCAATTTTAGACGTTACAATTTTTGGTTACCTTTTTTTTTTTTCTTCAGTGTTGGACAAAAAATCAGATAAAGAAAATTCATTATCTGTTTGTTTCCATTACACTAAAGTAGTAATTTGGCATAAGAACAATTTTTGGTTACCTTTTTTTTTTTTCTTCAGTGTTGGACAAACAATCAGATAAAGAAAATTCATTATCTGTTTGTTTCCATTACACTAAAGTAGTAATTTGGCATAAGGTTACATTGTAATAAGGGGCAACCTGTAATTGTTGGGATAAATTAATGTATTAAGGTTGGGTCAGTGGTGTTAAATAATTTTTTTTTGTACTTAATTAACCCTTTAACTGGCGACTTATCCTGGGGGATACAAACATTTGAGAGGCTGTGGGGAGAGGCAGGGAAAGTGTAGGTCTCATTTCTTGGTTTCATGTTGAAAGGGTGTTTGTTGTGAATATGTATATATTGACTTTGTTCATACATACTTTGTTTAGCTCACAGGAAGCATTTAAAACTGCATGGCCGCCTGTAGTGGGAAATCTACTCACCCTCCGATAAAAGCTGTTGTTCAGCATTAGCTTATTAGATTTACATTGAAATTTTATGAATTCAATTCTTACGTTTTTTGTAATCTGTCTCTAAATGTTTGTATCTCAGGGGATACAGTTTTAGAAAATCAAATCTTTTTGTAATCTTGACAACACACATATCGTTGGAAAAGTCTGACAGTTAAGATTCCATATGTGGTGACTGTTTTGTAATAGACGTGATATTGTGACAGAAATGGATTGATTTGTGACAGAAAACTGCATAAAAAAAAAATCAGTAGACTTTGGGTGTAAGCCAGTGGTTATTTATGGTTTTGTGACAAAACCACAATTTTTGTGATATCAACTTCAAATTTGGAACATAAATTGGTTAGACATATGACTTTGATAGCTTTGATTTATAGCAACTTTAGAGTGCAACATATTTGATAAAATATTTATTTTATATAAAATAAAGAAATAGTATATTACATTATCTTTACTGTAAACTTAAACAACTTTTTTATACTTTTTTTCTATAACTTTTTTATACAATTTTTTTTAATGCTTTCCATTCAGCAATAATCTGCTATGTCATATTTAAAAAGAGACCTACCTTAGGTCTGTATTCCAAAGCGTTCAGAAATTACAACCATTTGTTTAAAATGTTGAAACAAGCATTGATAAACAAGTGTTCTGTTTTCAGTGAATGTATAACCCCAAAATGGTAACGTATCCTGGGGGATACAAACATTAAAATAAAAAAAAAGAACCAAGTTTTTAATAAAATCATGAAATTGTATTATTTGTGTCCCAATAAGATGGAAAATAGCAATAAATTAATTTTCTGATGTCTTTTTATGGTCTTGCCCTTTAAAGGGTTAAAATTAGTTACTTTTGAAGTTACCATTTTAGGTTACTCTTTTTGTAAGTGTGTGAGTGTATAATTCTAACCATATAAATAATGCTAAATCATATAAATAATGTGTTTTGTGTATTATCTGACATCTGCTGCGCTTAATTTTCTCTCAGGGATGTTTTGCCTGTCTGTTTATTGGTTCCCTCCTGGGTTTACACACTTAACAATCTACCAGATCAGCTTGTTCCTCTGCTTGGTCCAAGTTAGTACTTGCCCTGTCATTCACCAGTCTCTGTACAACACATCGTGTTGTGCTAATCAGACTCTCTGAATTCCAGTGATTTGTGTGTTTGATTTTCAGAGACCTGGCTGTGTCCCTCTTCAGATCCGCTGGTTAGCAGTATGACTCCAGAAACACAAGGCATAACAGAAACGTCAAAAACAGTCATGTGCACTATACAGGTGATACAGATTCTCTGAGTCAGTGATCTCTGCTATACGTCTCTGATGTTTTCAATTTTATAATATTTGTTCAGTGTTAAATAAGTGGTATATGTAACAGCTTCATTCAGAACTGAGAGTGCTTTGTAATTCTAATTCTATATTCTAATTTCTGAATTTGAATTGGGGTATAACAGAAAGCAGACTGCCTATACAGATACTGGTTATTGCCCATGTTTTGTTTAAGTATTAAACTTAACTTGTTTTAGAGAAACTTACTCATTTATCTTAGAGTGTCCTTGTTTCGCGTTACATCTACTTTCTATAGTAGAAACTATACCTTAAATTAAGTACGTTATCAATTAATATTATTTGGTCCTTATTTGTCTTATTAACAAGGACTGTCTGGTTCACATGAAATTTAATGTGTATCATCTAGACACTGACAATGAGTTATCAAAAGCATTGTAATCCGTCAAATCAGTTGGTAGGCATAAAACTTTGTTTGGATGTTGTCTACAATGACTTATAGAACTGTATATTTTGAGTGCAATGTCCAAACATTAATTTATGGTGCTTTAATGTAAGAAAATATCCAAACCTGTGTAGCTGTGAACAAGGGCATTGAAATGTTCCACCTTAACCAATGTATCCATTAGGAATCTATTCTTTTTCATCTTTGCGACTATATTCTATGTATGGGAGGCAAGACCTTGAAATTATTTCTATCTGTTGGTAGGTTACAGCTGCCAGTGGTGCCATGTGCTTTATCAATCCCTTGTACCTTCAAGAGCACGGCGATGATTGGCTTGCTCATTCTTCAGCCAGCCAAATGAATCTTCCAATCAGGTTGAGGCGAGAAAGCCGGTTAAGTACCACGAGAGCATGGGTAGGGAGAGGACTGAAACAGAGGTCATCTACACTAGCCGACGACAACTCTAGCAGTTTTGACCATGACAGAGGTAGCGGTTGACAGTTTTGCAGTTCTAGCAGTGTTATTTTAGTATTATTTATAGCAGTGGTTCCCAACCCTGGTCCTGGAGGCACCCCAACACTGCACGTTTTGCATGTCTCCTTAATCAAACACACGTGATTCAGGTCATCAGCTCATTAGTAGAGACTCCAAGACCTGAAACTGGAGTGTCAGAGAAAGGAGACACGCAAAATGTGCAGTGTTGGGGTGCCTCAAGGACCAGGGTTGGGAACCACTGAGTTGTATAATATTATAGTATTTATTAATAATTGTAATCATCTTTTATTTTAATATTTTCATGTATATTTATGTTTTTGTCATTTGTATTAGCTTTTATTTTTTAATTTAAATATTTCTATTTAGCTAAAATTTATTTCAGTTTTCGTTTTTTAGTAATTTTAGTACTTCAACTTCAACTTATTTTGTTTAAGTACGTTTCCAAGGTACATTTCTAATTATCTTTTAAGGTTTTTTTAAGTTTAAGGTGAGACACTACAGACAAAAATAGTTTTTTTTTTTTCATGTCAATTTAGAGATTTTGGGCTTTTTGGCTTTTCATTCAGTTTTTTTTTTTTCAGTCTAGTGGAAAGAAAACATCCTAAATACACTTTTAAATGTTTGTTTTATAGCGCTTACATATCTGCATCTTTAGATTTCAGCGACAATGTATGTCTTTAAAGCCTGTTGTCTCAAAATGCTATATTCTTTCTGCACTAACTCAAAAATATCCACTTATATACACCAAACTTACAGTTTTATTCCTGTCTAAAAAATGTTTTTTTTCCTAGCTGTTGACAGTATGTTCTAAATTATGGAGTGAAATCCAAAATCCCCTCTGTAAAAACCTTTAATGTCAACAAAATGAAACAAGAAGTTTGAACCTGGCTTCATCCAATGTTCAGATTTTTGTTCTACAAATGTATGCAAATTAGTGCATATTTAATTAGATAATGTCTCATTTGAATATTTAAACATACCATTTAAAAAACTTGATAAACAACATCAAAACATTTTTTTGCAGTTCTTTACGAAATCATTTAACTGGAGAAGTGTGGTAATCTCCATTCATTTTTTACCTCATTAACCTGAGGTGTTTCGCCTTAAGTTTTTCATCCAATATTTATATTTTAAATACTTTTAGTTAACAATAACAACATTGATTTCAAGGACCCAACACATAATGTTTATATACTGCAACAGGATCTGCTGATAAAAGGCAGATAAAAAAGCAGATCTCAGTTAGATAGTGTTATGTAAGTGTCTTTTGTTTCTTCTCAAAGGATCGTTTGAGAAGAATCCAGACTCTCCAGCTGCCCCAGGTGGAGTTGTGCTTCGAAGGGCGAGTGGCGCCAGCAAGGAGGACCCCTTAAAAAGATCAAGTGTTGACTCCATTCAAAGCCCTCTCCCTCAGTCACCACATCGTGTATCGTGGGTAGAGGACAAGATATGGCTGAACTCATCACTTCCTTCCTCTCTGCTTCAACCGCCCGGCTTAGAGCTGGACTCCCTGTCAGTCAGCAGTATAGAGGAGGAGACTGAACCAGCTTTAAGCCCCTCCCCATCACTACCTTCGCCCCGCTTCCACTTGGCAGATAAGATGAAGAACCGTCTCTCTGCAGTGGGTCAGGCTCTAGGTGGACTTATGTCGCCACAGCGAAGACTGAGTAAACGTGTTCAGGAGATGGCGGAACGGAAGGGAGGGGCTTTTGCAGAGGCTGTCAGGGGATTTGTAGAGCAAACTCTTGTAAGTGAGGCCGGTCATGGAGTGACCTGCACCGAGATGCTGCAGGAAGTGCGTTCGTCTCTCACTGCTCTGAAGGAAACCCTGTTTGATTGTCCAGAGATCCAAAGCATCACAGACAGCATTGGAGACAATCCAGATTTTGAGCTGGGTATGACCTGGAGATGTGTTGGGGATAACGTTATTGCCGCGCTATATTATAATAACTTATCAGTCTTATCAAATTATCATCTATGTTCCTGTGGCTCAGTGGTAGAGCATTGCATTAGCAGTGCTAAAGGTCGTGGGTTTGATTCCTAGGGACAAAAATGTATAGCCTGAATGCACTGTAAGTTGCTTTGGATAAAAGTGTCTGCTAAATGCATAAATTATTATAATTATTATTAAATTATTATTAAATTAATGATCATCTGTAATTGTATTTTATCAACAAAACAATTTAATTGCTCCAATTTTCATAGGTAGGGCTACACAGTGAACGCACAGTGGGCTTTCTCTGGTCACACTTAGCAACATTTTTGCTAGTATATTAGTTAGTTTCTCATAAGAATCTTATTTGAAGGAAAGTGCAGGGACATAAAATGGGAAATAACCGAACCATACAGTTTAATTAACAAGTATGTGAACACAAGCGCTTCAGCTATTTAAATTTCATGTTGTTGTGTTACCACAAAGCCATTTGCACCACGCTCATTCATCACTTAATATTTTATTTTAGTGCATCAATCTATTTAATTATACTCATTATTTATGAAACCATGATCCGCACTCACAAAACGTTTTATTTTACATTTATCACCAGCAGGACAAAACACAAACGTTTCGGCTCAAGGCCTTCTTCAGTGCGTTCAATTATTCAGTCCCTCCACCCACTTTTTAAGTCATTAATTATATTGACCACATCATTCAGTACTGTAGCCAATGTTAAGTCTCTAAAAACACATATGCATTTCATTCGAATGCTCGACAATATTCATTTTTATATAACACAATTTTTCACATCTACCTATACATTAAATTAAGACACGATTTAACCCATGACAATAACATGAAACATATATATAAACAAAGGTATAGGGAAAAACTGTGTTATATACAAATGGATATTGGTGAGTATTTGAATGGAATGTATGTGTAATTCTTTTTTCACCTCTACTAAAACTATATTCATTCACAAATCTGTTTTTCTCTCTGCCCTTAGATGCTGTGCTGGAGCTTGCCTTACATAAAGTAGCTCTGAAGCCAGTTTACTCTCACCTTTACGTGTGTCTAAAGACAGCGCGTAGGGATGACTGCACTCTGCAGCATTTAGAGGTCAACAAGAGCACCCTGGAGAACCGCAGCCTGGAGGAGCTGGAGGGTGCAGCAGGGGCTGGGGTACCTGATTCCAGCATTTTGGAAAAGATCCAGCAACGCTGGACCACAATGCATGAGGCCTACTCACCCAGTAAAAAAGTTGACACCCTGCTCAAAGTCTGCAAGAATATCTACCATAGTATGAATGCTAATGCCAAGCCTGGTGAGTGAAGTAGTACTGTAGAGATGTAATACAGATTCTCATGGTTGATATTCTGTTATATGATATCCTGATATCCTGTTCCTGTGGCTCAGTGGTAGAGCATTGCGTTAGCAGCGCAAAAGGTCGTGGGTTAAATTCCCAGGGAACACACATACTGGTAAAAAATGTACAGCCTGAATGCACTGTAAGTCGCTTTGCGTCTGCTAAATGCATACATTTAAAAAATTAAATTATGTCAAGTCTGTGAGTCATTCCACATTCCACTTCCTTTGAATTTTTAACTTGTATGTCCTCTGTTTATATACAGTACTCCCCGTTCTGTATATACAGAAATTTGTCCTGTACAGAATACCAACAATTCCGAGCATACCCATGAACCCATGACATTTTAAGCATGCAAGGCACTTAAAACATCTAAAAACCTGTCATTAAGGTGTAGAAGATTTGAATATGTTCAATGTTTTATGTTAGGTACAGTTTTCGGGGCAGATGACTTCCTGCCATGCCTGACATGGGTGTTGCTGCGTAGTGATGTAGCTACACTTCAGGTTGACACCGACTACATGATGGAGCTGCTAGACCCCATGCAACTACAAGGAGAGGGTAGGGGGAGCACACACATTCATACTCATAAACATAAGTATTTGCTGTACTAGTTAATGTGCAGTGACATCTGTAATTAATTCATTGGTAGGGCAAACACTGTGATGCTTTCAAAGCATTACTTAGTCCAACATGTCAGCTTCTGGCTCACTGACTACGTTTACATGGACATCAGTAATCTAATTATTTACCTTATTCTGAATAAGCCAATATTACGATTAAGGTGTTTACATGAGTTGCTTTTAGAATATTCCTTTCATGTTCCCGTTTTACATGTTATAGTACATAGATCGATTAATGGCACACGTCATTACGTCACCACGTGACACCATCCGACGTCCCCTCCAGAATTTCACGTATAAACATATAGTTCGTCTTCGTTATGATGCCATATACAGTTTTGGGTGTTTCATTTTTAATTTACTGAAAGCTTCAAGTGCAGTTAATTATTTGTCATGCTATACATGCAAACAGACGATGGCGTTGTTGAAGCCATTCTTTTATTTGCCGTCAAACGGTTGAGCGCTGCCGTGTGTGTATCCTGTCGTAAAGTCCAGCGAAAAGTCCTACACAATGGTAATAATGTGATTAAGGTGTGTACATGTCTTTACTGCACTT